TTCGTTCGTTAAATTTTTTAAAAAAAAAATATTTGCTTTTTTTATTACGTGCAGTATAAATTCAACTTTGTCTACGTTTCAACGTAAATTGTTTTTACGTTTTCATGTTTATTTTTATGTACGTTTGCTACGTATAAGTCATGTCACATATAACACATTTTTGTTATTTGAACTTTCGTTCGTTAACTTTAAAAAATATATATTACTTACTTATTTTTATGTACTAGTCGTATAGATTGGAGTTTTTTTACGTTTCAACGTAAATTTTATGTACGTTTTATATACTTATTTTTATGTATGTTTTTTATGTATAAGTTAGGTTACATATAATACGTTTTTATTCAAGTGTATAAATTGGGGTTAGTCAGTTGTACCAACATTCTGTATTTATCTATCAACAAATACAATAATATCTAACTTTTATCAATATAATCGTCAAAATTCAACATATATCGGATTTGCCCCGTTACAACATGTGACATCAAGCAACTTGTTTCGATTAAAACATGTGTTACAAAAACCAAACTCTATCTTACCTTTCAAAACTACGAAAACAATTTTTAATTTTTTGTCTATTGTCTAACACTTAAAAGTGTTACTCCTTTATGTCTTTATGAAACAACATATGGATACTTGGAACACTTTTTGTCTGTTATTTGACTCCTTTAACATGTATTTTTTTAAATTAAATAACCTTTTACATACTTGAAATACCTTGTTATCTGTTATGTCAAAAAATGTTTTATTATAAAAAATCAACAAACATTTGTTTATTTTAATAACATTTTAGTTTTATATTATACAATATAAATTTAAATTAAAATTATAAATATTAAAACAAATTTTGATATCTGTAAATAATAATCTTTAAATACATTAAAAAAACTTTCATTTTTTTAAACATATAAGTGAATGTGAAAGTAATAATACTTTTTAACAAAATTATAGAAAAAACTTTATTAGACTGTAAGGAGTGGAAGTCGCCACCATGGACGCTAAGCCACGCTAGGCTCGCTGCACACCACCCCTTTGCTTGCGCCAAGAGGGTCGTTAGAAAACACTCGCCATGCACCTAACGAGAAGAGAGAGAGAAAGAATTAAGTGGGTTGTTGACTTTGGTGTTTAAACTTTAGAAGAATTTTACATATTTAGTCCTTCAACTTTTGGAGTAATTTGACAATATAAACACTCAACACAGCGTAATGTTGTACATGCAATCTTCAAACTTGTTTTTTAAGTATAAATAAAAAAACAAAATATAAAATTTTATGTATTTATTAAGTTATGTTTAATACAATGTAACTTTTTTATTTAATATTAAATATTTTTTCTTTACAAAAATATAATTTATCTAAGCTTTAAATAAATTAATCTAATATGCTTAAATTTAATTGTTTGTGATTTTATAAAATAAAATTTATTTAATATTATTTGTTTGTGTTTAAAAAAATATAAATTAATTAAATTTAAAAAAAAAGAAAAAAAAATGTTATGAGTGTTACCACTCCCTACCAAATGCTAAGAATTAAGTGCTAAGAGAAAAAAATTGACATGGCATATGTGACAAGGTGTTAAGAGTGTTACCACTCCACTCAGCTTATTTGTGATGGTAATGAATAATGATTTGGTAGGGTCCCACTGTCCCTTCTCTGGCAAGCTTCATTCATTCCACCCACTCCACTGTTGGGTCCCAGTTTTGTTCTCCCTCGATTGCTTTGTGGGCCCACTCGAAGAATAAATTAATACAAGAACCGACAGATAATGGGCCGAAGACCTGGTAAAACGGGTCAAAATGGATCGAATTTATTTTATCGTGAGTGGAAATAGATTAGGTCAGGCGGAATCGACTCACAATTTTTTTTTAAATAATTAATATATTAAATATAGTAAAGTATATATAAAATAATTTAGAAGGTATATCCATATTATATGTTTTCTTACTCGTACTATCAGATTTGTTAGATATTTTTTTCTATTTTATTTATTTAATCTACTAGTATATGGTATAACATAAATTCGTTTGGATCAAAACAAATAGAATCGGGTTCCGTTGACTTGTAAATCCCCTTCGTCCGTATTTCAAAGGTTTCTTCATAAATAGTCAGCAAGTTAAATGTTATTACAAATATTGCAATTAAAATATTAATATAAAACTATTTCGAAAGTACATTTTCGGCGATTTTCAGGTGAAGCTTTTTTTTAACTATCTTTTAAAGCTTATTCTTTTAATCCATTGATGATAGAAAATTAAAAAAAATTAATTAATTAATATGGTGTCAACTTTACTTGTTTAACCTGGCATTAGTGACATCATTGGCGGACCTGTATGTATACCTAGGACAGCTCGTGCTACCCTTCAAGGTTCAAACTATTTTGTACAGGAGAATTTTTTTTGTTAATTTCGCCTGCACAATATAATTATTCCGGCGTGCTAACCTTAAAATCATGTGTGCTGACTCTCACTCTTATTTTGGATCAGGCTGGTAGTAATTAAAAAATTCCAAAAAACTAATTATAAGATAAAATGTACAATCATTCGACGAAAATGAAATGAAATAATTACTAATTTAAGTATTCCTAATAGCATATTGCTTCCATAAGCAAACTCCCCAAAAGATGGACTGAGAAAATATAAGCCTTAATTAATTGCAGATTTCTTTAAAATCTCTATTTTTGCATATTGTGATTCCAATTTTCTCATTTTGTATGTTTGGAATAATATTTTGCAAAAGCTAGCAAATTTAATAATTTTATATTTGACTCACCACAACTAACTTATAAGTTAGTTGATTTTTCAAGTTTTTTTTTTATAGTTTGTCATTTTGGTAAGCCAAAAAATAACAGTAGCTAATAAGTCAACTGTTTAAAAAACTACTCATAGCAGCTTTTCAATTAGTTTATATAACTTTTCAAAAATCCAAATATATATTATTTATTATTTATAATAAACATATTTTTCTACATACAGTTTACTGTATATGTCCTTTATACTTTCCAGTTAGTTTTTATTAAACGTTATTTTTATCAGTTATTAATTAATTTTTAACCTAATAGCTATTAACTAACTTTTAAGTTAATTTGTCAATATAGCTTTCATATTATTACTTAAAATCGTAATATATATAAAATTGAAATATATTATTGTTTAAAAAAAGTTGTCAGGAATGTATGACATATTGCTATTCGCTAATCTTGTATTTAAACTAGACGAATTCACGCGCATTGTGCAGCGAAGATTAAAAATATATTGTTAAAATATTGAAAAATATATGTTTAAAATGGCTATGTTATTGACATTAACTTTGAGATAATATTTTTACACTAATACATATATTATATATATATATATATATATATATATATATATATATAATCTCTATTATTTCGAACAATAATATTCATTGACATCAACCCACATTCTTCATTAATACAATTAAATATAATTACCTATTTAGTATTATTTTTAACAATTATTATTATTGATTAATTATATTTTTATTTATGCGATCATTTTCTAATTTCAACAATGATGTTCATTTAAAATAGAATTTATTTATAGCTAAATGTAATTTATAATTTGATGTTATTATCATTTAAAATTGTTATTCATTAGTTTTAAACCACTTATTATTAATAATAAGTTAAAGAAGACTTTTAAGAAACACTTAATATTATTATTAAAATGTGAAACATACACTAAATAATAAAGTGATAAGATAGACAATTTGCATTTCAAAAGAGACTTGCATGGATAATATGACATATCCATGTAATTTTATTTTATTATTTCTAATTATTGCTTATTAATTTTAAAACCACTTGTTATTATTAATAAGTGAAAGAAACTTTTAAAAAACACTTATTGTTATAATTAAAATGTTAAACATATACTAAAATATAAAGTTATAAGATAGACAATTTGCATTTTAAAAAAGGCTTACATGGATAATATGGATAATATGACATATCCATGATTTTTAATTAATTATTGTTTTGAAGAACATACACATATATATACAATAGTTAATTAAATATTATATATATCATCTTCCATAACATATGATCGATAACATGAATCTAATCTAATTTACATTAAAATTTCAAATACAACATACAATGATATTCTTAAAAGAATACTTAAATCAAGAAGATACAAAAAAGAATTAGTATATAACAAACTTACAAATTAAAAACTTCAACATAATAATATGGCTCGAAAAATTGTTCAAAACCCTCAAACCAACACAAAAAAACTTTAAACTTGTTTTCTTTGTGAATTTTGTATGTGATTTGTATTTATGTATCTACTAAAAAAGATTAACCTTTTTATAGTAGAGTATCCATTAGTTGTTTATTAAATATATTATATACGTTATAAAACATTTGAATTGTTAATCATTATTAAGAGACTTTTGAGTGGTATTCATTAAAATATGGGGGTTGCAAATGAATGAGGTTTAAGAGAAAATGCTAGTTTTATAAGTATCGTATGATGTATGATTATATTTAATAAATTATGTATTTTTGAAAATAAGGAGTTTGGAATTTTCCTTTGTTTTTATTTGAAATGAAAATTATGTGACTAAGCTTAGAATTCCCCAACAAGAATTCCAAGTTGAAAGAGACCACTGTTTGATAACAGAGAGTGGGAGGGAGTGCTGAATGGTGGTCGTCATTTTCACGCAGACTTTGCTCCATCTCCATTCATCATCACTGATTCCTACCCATCAACCATTTCTGAATTCTGATCGATCCATGTCTCTTCATTCTTTCAAATCTCTCTTTGTTATTTTGTGTCGGCCAACTACAGATCCATGGAGATCATGAGCTTCTTTTTTAGTTTTTTTCTTTGAAGATCATGAAGAACGCTGGTGCTGTTGCTTGAATCTGTAGTCTGTACTTTTTTTTGTCACTGTTGATCGTTTCTCTGTTTAAACTCCGTCACTAGCTCGATTTAGAGAAGAAATTGATCGAAGGAGGTCGACTTTGAGGTTAACGAAATGCAACGAGGCGGTTCATCGATGTATTCACCGACGTCGATTAATATGAACCCTAAATTCCCTGAGCACGAGCATCTAAAATGTCCTAGATGCGATTCGAGCAACACAAAATTTTGTTACTACAACAACTACAATCTCTCACAGCCTCGTCATTTCTGTAAGAACTGCCGTCGATATTGGACCAAAGGCGGTACTCTTCGCAACATCCCCATCGGAGGCGGCACTCGCAAAAACAAGCGTTCTTCCATCTCCAACAAACGCGGCACCAATTCTTCTCCTTCTTCTTCAAATTCGATGGCGACGACGATGGCGGTGGCGGTGGCGGTGGCGGTGGCTCCAACGCCAGTCGAGCCGAAACCAGAAGCTTCAGGGATTTACGGGTATGGTAATGACCAGATGGAAGGAGGTGGTGTAAGTTTCAGCTCGCTGTTGGGGTCGAGCCCTGGTGGACAGTTCGCAAAGTTATTAATGGATGGTCTGAATCCCAATCTGGTGGGTGGATCCAATGAAGATGGTTTGATTCGAAACCCGACTGCTGAAGAATTTGAGAGTAATTTCTTGAGCGTGAATCATCAAACTAATAATCAAATCGAAGAAAACGGAGGAGGAGAATCGAGCTGCTGCAATCAGGGTGATAATGGATGGCCTGATCTTTCCATTTACACACCAGGTTCGAGCTTTCGTTAGATTATAATTAAGTCTTCACACTAAATCCATACCCATATTATATTATAGATAGGAAAGTTTTCTTTGTTTTGCTTTAGTTTAAACTTTTGACGTTGTAGTTTATAAAATCTGAGTGGGGTTTGGTGTTTACTGGTGGATTATTCTGCCATCAAGAAAAATGTTTTTTCTAAAGACCAATGTATTTATAAATTATGAAAAGATATTTGAGTAATCTTTAGTTGGCAGTTAGAGTGTTCTTGATTTCTTTCTACAATGCGTTCTTCGACTCAAATGTTGTTCTTTTTGTAGTTTTCTGAATTTTAGGAAATGAAGGATTAACTAGACCGATTTGGGATATTAACCTGCATTTGTGCATACGGGTGTGTGGATCTAGGGAAAAAAAATCAAAACAGGTCCAATATTCTAACTTTCACCTTGATGGATATATTGGAAATCACCGCCCAAAGTTGGGTGAGCATAGACAGGTACCTGGTTAATTTGGTCGGGAGTACTGGTTTTAGACTGGTCGGTGCACCCTCTACCGCACATTGCAGTTGCTGATTTGGCGTCGCAGTGTGCGGTGAACACAACTCCGACCCCCCTTACTGCAGCCTAAAACCTTACAGCGGGTGATGACTTTACCGCACCATTTTTTTTTTTTACCGTTGGAGTGTGTGTTGTGTGTGGTATGACATCCACTTGTCTTGTGGGGTGGGGGAAAAAATGTTGTGGCGATGTATGACACACTACGGCCTTATAATGTTGGAAACGAACCTGTCTAACTGATTCTTAAACTTTTGGTATCGTTACTGGACTGCCGCTTCCGGTTTTGTTATTTTTTTATTTGCCGTTAAAAAAAAATTATAATCCACAGATAAATTACAATCAAGAAACATGGTCAAATAATATGCTGCAAATTTATTAAAAAAATTATAATGCATAAGTAAATAGCACCATGAAACATATAGTTTGAGTGGGTAAACGGAAAGTTATAATCTATTAAGTTGGACTAGACATGCATCAAAACCACAAAGAAAATAATGACAATATTTGACAATTTGACATCTTCAAAACCTCAATGAAAATAATGAGAGACTTGACAATTCGACATCTTGTACCACAAAGAAAATAATGATAGATTTGACAATTTGACATCATCATAGAAACGATATTAGAATAATAGCAAACATTATTCATTGATATTATCGGTGAGGAGTGGCGTGGCAAGCAGCTGGACTGCCAAGGGCACACCGACCCTTCTTCTAGGCAAGACGCAAAAAAGAATCTGGCTCGTCACCGGTTCACCGCGTCTTTCTCCTCCTGACAAGATTTTGCTAGTTTTGGTTTGGAAGGAGTTAGCACTCAACAATGTCGGCACCACTTCTCACGACCTAAAAATTAAATTGGTTCCGCTATAACAGTTCCAAAAAATAAGAATCGGGATCATCTCTTTGAGGTTCTCAGTTTTGGGAACACAAAAAAAATAAGAACCAGGAGGTCCAAAACGGTCCCTTGAAGGTTCCCACTTTTAAGAACACAAATTGTAACCAGTGACATCGGTTTTGTTTCTTAAACTGATAGTTACGAAGCGGTTCTAGTTTTAAAAACAGGTACCTGGACCACATAACTCATCACCACCAAAACCACCACCCGCCACCCCCATCACCACCTACCACCACCCAACCATCACCAACCAATTGTATGCAAGTGAATTAACGAAATTCCCTCTAACGGGGGGATAATGTAACAACCCTTAATTTCAAATCAATGTAAATTGAGTTTATTCGAATAGAAGCCAAAGCTACAATTGTATGCAAGTGAATTAATATCATAACCATCACACAATGGGTAACGACCCAAAAATCAAGGAAAAATTTCATTTTTAATATAGCTAAAACATTGATACCATTTATTTCAAACATTTCAAATCATCATTAAGTAAAACATTTATCAGAGTTTATCCCAAAATCATTCATTGCGGAAATCATAGGTGTGTGCACTGCGATCAATCCGGGCCCTCCTTTTCCAAATCGATGATACCTGAAACCAAAACTGTAAACCGTAAGCACAAAGCTTAGTGAGTTCCCCAGAGCATACCCCACACAATCTACATAACCACATAATCCACATTAGCTATAACAGCTAGATAAACCATATCAATCACATAACCATGCATATAAACATATACGGATGTCGTGGGCTCCCTCCAGGGTCTTACTCCAGGATGTCATGGGCTCCCCCCATGGTCTTACACCTAAGTGTCATGGGCTCCCCCATGGTCTTTAATAGGAAAGTCATGGGCTCTCCACATGGTCTTACATCCGGTATCATGGGCTCCCGCCATGGTCTTCCATGCAAGTATCACAAAGACAGCTAGCATAACACATACCACATAGTCAATAGCATACCTCATAATTACTAGCATACCACATATACATGCATACCAAACATATCAGTAATGAATCTACAGTAAACACTACAACTAACTGAATGGGTCGGCCTTGGTGCCTTAGACCCATTGGTATGGTGAGGAGACTCACCTGGCACTGCTGAAGTCCCGCGAATAAAACTCTAGCTGTTGGATGGCAGATTCCCAAACTGTCAACACCAAACAATATCCAATTAATAATTGGGTTCCAAAGCATAACCACAACTCCATACTTGGGGTAAAAGACTACTTTACTCTAACTCAACCTTATTTAGTCCAAGGCCCAATTCAAAGGCCCAAAAGTCAAACCATGGACCAAAGCCCAACATATAGCCCAATTTTCCAAATTGGGCCCAACCTTTACATGGTCTCATTCAAAGGCCCAACCATTTAGTCCAGTCCAAACATTTGGCATTTCTAATGGCCCAATATCTCATAATCATAAAGGCCTAAGCTATGGCCCATCTATGACCCAATTTTCCAAATTGGGCCCAAACCTTCACATGGGCCTTACCCTAAAGCCCATTAAATTATTATAGTTTATATGATTGTTCCTGGATGGCCCATCAATATCCCAATCACCAAAGCCCAATAGAAAGGCCCAACTCACAGCCCAAGTGAAATTAGGGTTTCACATAAAATGACAATTAGGGTTAATGTTTCTCACTTAACCCATTAAGGACTTAATTCATTAAGTCCACCACTCTACTAGATAAATCATATGGTGTGATTGGGCTTAATACATAGTCCAATTCCAATGGCCCAAATGTGGGTCCCAATAAGTCCAAAGTCCATAAATCCAATATTAGGGTTCTCTAAGCCCTAATTAGGGTTTCCAACCTCATCTTAGCCCAATAGGCCCAATAGCTAGGTCTTTTTATCAATTAGGGTCCATTAGGCCCACTAGTCACATGTTTGGGCTTTTAGGTCAATTAGGGCTTTATTGGGCCCATTAGGGTTTTAGTCCCTTTGTCCAAACATTCCAAACGAGTCACAATCCAAACAAGGCACACCGCCACCCGACACAGCGGCCAGTGGCGGTTTTGACATTCTTTCCATTATTCTATTTTTGTTACAATTTACAATGCCAATCTCCAAAATAAACACACACACACACACTAATGCTAAATACACACACACAGCCACCCTTGTGGTGGCCGGTGGTGGTGGTGGCTTTTCCGACCAAGTAAACACCCACACACAACACCCTCTCACTGCAGCAATAAACACAAACGCACCAAAGCACACACACAACCACCTTTCACGGTGGCTAGTGGCGGCAGATAAGGGCAACATGGCGGCAACGACATCAATGATGGCTAAAGGTGGTGATAGCGGTGTCATCGGAACAAGAATCACCCGTTGAAGCAGCAATGGCAACATAACAGCTTGGAGAACGTCGGCGGCGGAACAGCAGCGCTACAACGGAGTGGCGACTGAGTCTTCACCGGTTGCGGCGCAGCAGCGGTAGCACCCTGTCGTTCGCAATCTACGTATCGGCGGCTGGTTTGCAGTGGTTCTCAGCAGCAAACTTTGTCGGCGGCCATAGTCCGTCGTGTTCTTGGTTGGTCGGAATATCAATGGGGTCGAACGGTGGACGAGGCTCCACATGGCGGTGACTGAAGACGGAGAAGGAGGAGAACGTTGGATGTCCGGAGGTTGTTGTGGTCGTTGGCTGATCGGAAACGGGGTGGGCGGCGCCGGTGAGGGAGGCATAAGGGTGGGTGGTGGCTGATGAAGTTAACGTTAGGGTTAGGGTTAGGAAGAACAATGCAGCAGTTAAATACCCGTCTCCACACCAAACTAGTTGCCATAATGGCAAAACTGGTCCCTCCACATGACGTTTTCTTTCAAAAATAAGGCCAATATTTACCATTTAAACCCTCAGCATCAAAATCCATTACAATTTAGGTACCATATTTACCTAACAGCCCTCCACTTTGACAATCTTTGCAAAACTAATCCAGGATTTAGCTTTTTAACCCCCAATTCTCAATTATGACATATTCAGCCCTTCCCTTCTCTTTTCCTTTCAACTTAAGTCCCAACAATTACCACGGAGCCCCTGCCTTCATAAATATTTACAAAATAAGTCTCGAATTGACATGTTAACCCCCGAATAATCCAAATCACAACATTCGGCTCCCCAAAACCAACACTCAACTCAATAATACGGATTTAGGGCGACTATTCGTTCATCAATTCTATCTATTTATTTATTTAATAAACAGAATGTTACACAATGAGAACTCTAAATACCAAGGAAACATACTTTGCTATCATACTTATGAACACTTATACTAAAAGCTACACATTTATAACACAATATAAGTCAAGATAAGTCAAAGTATGAAAGTTAAAACACAAAATACCCCACCACATTGAGTTTACGGCCTAAGTAAGAAGCATCAAAGGAGTTTACGGATTCATAAAGTGAACAAATGGTGTTCACGGTCCAAAGATCCAAGGATCTTTGTGTTCACGGTCTAAAGGGATAATGATCAAAGTGTTCACGGATGGAAGATAAAGAACAAATGGTGTTCATGGCCAAGAGGTGACCGTGAACACAAACCAAAGCTCTTTTTAGGGCGTAAACACTTCAATTCTTATCCCATTTAACTTCCCAATGAGATTAGATCCGTAAACACTACATTCACCGCCTTAGGACTATCCTTCATACTTAAGGAACAAATGAAATCATTTACACATTCATCAAACGTAAAGACTTCATTCTCTCTCAAAAACTTCAAGCCTTAGTTCTTCATTTACTCTCAAATATCAACACATATATCCAGTGAACTTTCAAACTTCTTTCCCAGGAATTTCTTCACTAATTGTAAGTAATACATATGAACTAATATAATTTACCTTGTTAAATGATTAGTTATC